CAACCAGTTCAGCCTTTCCGAGCTCTAGCAGCAGAAACGGTGTTTACACCCCTCAACATGAAGCGGCCCGAGATCCTCATAGCGATCAAGGACACCCCGTATGTAAAGTGGCCACCTTGGCTCAAGGCCGATCCTAGTGTTAGGAACAAGAACTTGTAGTGTAGTTTCCATAGAGATCACGGTCATAGCACCGAAAATTGTAATAACCTCCGCGATGAGATAGAAGAGCTCATTTGTCGTGGATATTTGAGAAATTTTGTACATCATGGCAATAATAATAATAAAGCAGGTCGGCATGGGGGGCAGAATAAAGAAACCCCCGAGTCCAGCAGACAGGCGGAGCAACCGCAGGGACAGCCTCCTGACGAGAGACCAGTCCGAGGAACCATCCACGTAATCGTTGGAGGATCAATTGTCGTGGGCTGCACCTCGTCAGCAGCTCGGTCATCAGCCCGCAAAACAGCCAAAGAAGAGTTAAACCCCTCGAAGCGGCCAAGGGTGGAGGAGCCGATCTTCTTCACTGAAGATGACGCGCGAGGAGTCCACTACCCCCATGATGATGCGCTCGTCATCAAGATCAAGGTCAACGACTTCGAAGTCAAACGTGTCCTGGTAGATTCGGGTAGCTCGGCAGACATCCTTTTCAAGGCAGCCTTCGATCAGCTTCAGATCCCAGAGGGTGACCTGAAGCCCGCAAGCACTCCACTGGTGGGATTCAGCAGCGAGGAGGTCAGGCCATTAGGGAAAGTCACTGTGCCAGTGGAGGTCGGTACTTGGCCCAGTGTGATAAGGCTCAATCACGAGTTCCTGGTGGTTGCAACCCCCTCTCCATACAACGTGATAGTGGGCCGACCCATCACCCACGTCCTGCGAGCAGTAGTCTCCATCTACCACCTAGCGATGAAGTTCCCTACAGGCTTCGAAGTCGGAGTGGCGTGGGGCGATAAGCTCGAATCCTGCAAATGCTACGTAGCCGCCCTCAAAGGAAAGGTCAAGGTAGCTGACGACCTCGAGCTGGGATGACCCGCAGAGCAGTTCGCAAAGTGGGCCACACTTACTGAAGAGACCATCCCCGTCCCGACCTCGATAGACGATCCAACACGGGTACTTCAGATCAGCGCTTCTGTTGAGGAGCCCCTACGGTCTCAACTGGTGTTCTTACTCGAAAATTTAGATGTTTTCGCATGGTCGGCGGCAGAAATGCCTGGCATAGACCCCAACATTATCACTCACAGACTTAACATTGATCCTTCAGTTAGGCCCGTTAGACAAAAGAAGCGCAACCTAGCCCAGAACGATGGAGGGCAGTCGACGAGGAGGTCGGGAAACTCCTTGCAGCCGATTTTATCAGGGAAGTCCATTACTCGAGCTGGGTAGCCAACCCCGTTCTGGTGAAAAAGGCAAACGGTAAGTGGCGCATGTGCGTTGACTACATCGACCTGAACTGGGCTTGCCCAAAAGACTGCTTCCCACTTCCTAGGATCGACCGCCTAGTGGATGCGACCTTGGGGCACGAGTTGCTGAACTTCTTGGATGCCTATTCAGGCTATAACCAAATAAAAATGGACCCAGCAGACGAGGAGAAGACCGCCTTCATAACCGAATTTGGCCTGTACTGCTACAAGGTCATGCCCTTCGGGCTGAAGAACGCTAGGGCTACTTTTTAGAGACTTGTAAATAAGCTGTTTGAGCCACTTGTTGGCACAAAAGTAGAGTGTTATGTATACGACATGGTCGTCAAAACCCAATTTTCACATGAATTAGTACAAGATTTACACTCAGTCTTTGAAATCTTGCGTAGATTTAATATGAAGTTAAATATGAATAAGTGCGTCTTCGGTGTCACCTCGGGTAAATTACTGGGGTTCATCGTCAACCGGCAAGGCATTGAGGCCAATCTAGACAAAATCGAGGCCATCCTAGAAATGAGACCACCTCGAAAGTTAAAAGAGGTCCAGAAGCTGAATGGCCGGTTGGCCGCCCTAAGTCGCTTTTTGTCTAAGTCCGCAGATCGCTGTCTGCCTTTCTTTAAAGCCATAAAAGGTAAAGGCTTTGAATGGACTGAAGAGTGCTAGCTCACGTTCGACGAGCTCAAAAGGCACCTCGCCAGCATCCCAGTCTTGACCCAACCCGAAGTGGGTGATGTTTTAGAGCTATACCTCTCGGCGAGTGACGAGGTGGTCAGCTCGGTACTAATAAGAGAAGTAGATCGGGTCCAACGACCCGTCTATTATGTTAGTAAAATGTTGTAGGGAACAGAGACAAGGTACCCGAAGATAGAAAAGTTAGCCTATGCACTGGTTATAATAGCCCGAAAGCTCTGCCCATACTTCCAAGCTCACACCATTGTTGTCCTTACCAATAAACCTCTGAGGCAAGTTTTACTCAAGCCCGAGGTCTCGGGAAGGTTGACAAAGTGGGCCATCAAACTCAGCGAGTACGAGCTTCAGTACAAACCGCGAACCGCTATCAAGGCCCAAGCCTTGGCAGATTTCATCGCAGAATTCACCTTTAGCTCCGAAGTCCCCAGGTCGGTAGAACACGAGGCCCCCAGTATGGGAGAGCTCAGAGTTCCTGGACCGATTGAACTCGAGCACCGTGAAGTAGCAACCAGCGCGGCATCTCTCCTAGTTAGGCCAAGCCCGAACTGGAATGATGAACCCTAGATCCTTCACGTAGATGGCTTGTCAAATCGGCAGGGCAATGGAGTTGGGATCGTTCTGTATGGACTGAGCGGTGTGAAATTGGAGTACGCGCTACGCTTTGAGTTCGTGGCTTCCAACAACGAAGCAAAATACGAGGCGCTGCTAGCCGGGCTGGACCTTGCAAAGGAGGTGAAAGCCAAGCACATCGTCGTCTGCAGTGACTCCCAACTCGTGGTGAATCAAGTCCTGGGTGAGTACGAAGCTCGCGAACCAACTATGGTAGCATACTTAGCCAAAGTGAGAGAGACTTTGCTTAGCTTCTGGTCACACTTCATCCGACAAATCCCAAGATCAGAGAACGTTGAGGCCGATGCCCTGTCACAGTTAGCCAGCACGGAGACAACACCATGAGGACTGTATATATAGAAAACTTACCTCGGCCTAGCATTCTCAGGGGGGGCAGAGGAGGTCGCTCCCGTCATTCAAGCAGAGCTGAGCTGGATTGATCCACTCACGAGCTTTCTGCTACATGGGGCCTTCCCCGTAGACCGTAATGCCGCCAGGAGGGTAGAGTGCTAGGCAGCCAAATACGTCATGATAGACGAACGACTGTACCGAAGGTCCTACACGCTTCCCTACCTGCGCTGCCTGCGACCCTCGAAAGCCGAGTTTGTCCTCCACGACACTTATGAAGGCCTGTACGATGGACACTTGGGGGGCAGGGCCCTCACTCAGAAAGCACTACGACAGGGGTACTACTGGCCAACCATGAAGGCAGATGCGACCGAGCTTGTCAAAAAATACGACAAGTGCCAGAAGCACGCTAACATCCACCACCGCCCTGCCGCTGACTTGAAATACCTCACTAGCCCATGGCCATTTGCACAATGGGGGATTGACCTACTTGGGCCATTCCCGCCAGCAACAGGGCAAAGAAGGTTCCTAGTGGTGGTAGTGGACTATTTCACAAAGTGGGTCGAAGCCGAACCTCTCACGACAATCACAACTCGGAACGTGTAGAACTTCTTTTGGAAGAACATAGTGTGTCGTTTCGGATTACCTCGGGTACTGATCTCTGATAATGGCAAGCAGTTCAAAGACATCAAGTTCCAAAATTGGTGCCGAGACATGGGAATTCAGTAGAACTTCACCTCGGTGGCTTACCCTCAAGCAAATGGCCAAACAGAAGTTACGAACAGGGCTATCCTTCGAGGACTGAAAGCGCGCTTGGACCGAGCTAAGGGACTGTGGACGGATGAGCTGCCCAGTGTACTTTGGAACTACCGTACCACGGAAAGGACTGCCACGGGAGAAACTCCCTTTAACCTTACATACGGCACTGAAGCAGTCATCCTAGCTGAGATTGAAGTCCCCTCGCTGAGACTAGAAGCATATGAAGACAGAGCAAATGAAGATGAGCTACGTACCAACCTCGACCTGCTAGACGAAGTACGGGACCTCGCGTACATTAGGACCACGGCCTATCAACAAAGGATAGCTCGGTAATATAACGCCAAGGTCAAAAAGCGAACTCTCCGCGTTGGCGGCCTGGTTCTCCGCAAGGTTATGGCGCCTGAGCCTGGCGTTGGCAAGCTCGGTCCGAATTGGGCAGGACCTTACTGAGTAAAGCGAGTACTCGGGGAAGGAACATACGAACTCGAAACCCTAGAAGGGAAATAAGTACCTCGGGCGTGGAGTATCGTCAACCTAAGACTATATTACCCGTGAACCACCGAACTGAGTGAACCACGAGTCACTCCCTTCTAGCCTTAGGGCCAATCTGTCGAACCAGCGACAACCTCGGCAACACGAGGTCCAGTCACCCCCTCAGCAGGGGCAAACTTTAGGAAAACAGTTTAGAGTGACCACGAGTCACTCCCTCCAGCCTAAGGGTCAACGTGCTAGGTTAATTGATGACCTCAGTGCTATGCATGACTCTACCGCCTCGCCAGCATAGGCTTAGCATGCCAAAGACCAAAGGCGTCTCGAGAACAGACTTTCCGACTCCTAGCCTACCTCGGTATACGCTACTAGAGGTAAATGCCAACCTAAATAGCCAAGCAGGCAGGTCGGGCACGTGCCTTACTATGCCTACCTCCGCGTACATCGCTAAAACTTGATGATCACCCCTACTAAGTGCAGGAAGACAGTTCAGGGTGACAGCGGTAAAGGGTCGCTCACCTCAGGAACTGAATTTACTAACTCAATAGCTCAGATAAGGCAAACACTCCGACAGAAGTGAATCACACAAGCGCTTAACAAAATATACATATATACTCTCATTGCATAAGTGTAATTTCATTACAGAATCCCAAGTACAAAGAAACAAGAAAAGAAAATACAAGTAGAACACAACTATTTGGAAGGCTTATCAGCCTTACTCGGGGCCTCTTCGGGGGCCTCCTCGGGGCTGTCAGCCAACTCGGTGGTATCGGCCTCCTCGTTGCTGCCCTCATCGTCAGAGTCTGAGTCATCCGTGGCCTGACGGGCCATGTCGTCTGTAATGTTATAGGTGGTGAAGGCACTTATGTCAAGGTCAGGTTATGCACGCCTTATCCACCTCCTGCCGAGCTTAAACCCCCTACGATAGGCCCGCGACATTACATCGTCAAACCTAGACAACTTGACATAGTTGATGACGGCTTGGGCCTTCGCCTCCCCGAGAGCTCCGTCGAAGATCTCGGTCTTCTCCTTGATGTCGGCTTTGAGGTACTCCACCTCGTGCTCCAAGGCCCCCTTGGCTTCCTTAAGCCCCTACACCTCGAGCTGTGAAGCCCTCTGACACGCCTTGAGACTCTCCACCTCGAGCTTCAAGGCTTCCTAACCTGCTCTGAGCCCGTTCACCTCGGCCTTCAGCCTATCTCCCTCGCGGGCCAGCTCATCCTTCTCTAACAACAGGGCTTCGATAAAGCTCTTCTGGGTAGTAGCGTCACTCTCCAATTGGTGAATCTTGCCCCGAGCTGCCCTCAGCTCAGTGTGAGCCGCGCGAGATGACTCCTTAGCAGCCAAAGCACGCCTCAGGTGTTTGTCGGACTGAAAGGTCAGCGCATGCACAGCAGTGTTCACCTGGCAGAAGAATGTTGGTCGGTACTAAAGAAAGAAGAAAGAAAGAAAGGAGAGAGAGGTGGCTCTTAGAGAGTGAGCTCACCACCATGGCGTGGGTTGCAGTGCGGGCCCCGAACTGACCAGGGGAGAGTTCGGCCCAATCTAGAACCTCCGTAGTGATAACAGCCCTCTTACTTCTTTCAAGGCTGATATCGGGATTCATGATGCTCTCTTCCTCCTCCTGAGTCCCCGAGCTGGATGCCGCCGTATCTGCGGCACGATGAGCCGATCCTTCGGAAACCTCAGCAGCAGCCCCAGTAGGATTTGAGACTTCAGTGGCAGCCCCGGCTAGCTCAGCGATCGACTCTGCCACCGTGTCAGGCCCCCGTGGTGGTAAATCCCCCTCCAAGTCTCTCACTGGAGGGGCGTCAGGGAGCTCGGGCCCTGAAATGGGAGCTTGTGGGGGCTCGGGCCCCGAAGAGGGGACCTGCGAAAGATCGGGTTCAGGGGTAGGGGTCCTTGGGGATTCCACGCGTGCCTTCTTGGCAACCCGTTTCTTCCTCTTCTTCATCTGATGGAGGAGCCTCGGACCGGTAATCCTCTCTTCCTCCATGGGACCTACAACTAGACTTGTTCATGGGCTGGGCTCGGCTCGGGCTTTGACTCTTTATTAACAAAAAAATGTTAGGCCCGAGCCCGAGCCCGACTCGACCAATAAAAGAAAATGTTTTTTTCCCCTATTTAAATGAACAATGAGCCTATAAGTGAATCAACAACCTTCTCAAATCAAAAAATTTATTCAAATGGACATCACATAGGTTTTTACTTAGGTTTAACTATAGGTCGGGCTTTTTGGCCCGAGGTTAAGCCCGCGGGCCAAAAAGCCTGTTCAAGCCTGTCCGGGGTCGGGCCATGCCGGGCCGGCCCGTTGGGCCACCCGGCCCATGAACAAGTCTACCTGCAATAGAGCTCGGCGTCAGTAAGCCCGAAGACACTAGGCTGATTAAGCAAAACACTAAAGTAGAAATTGACCTACCCGGGCTCAAATCGGCCTGAATGAGCTTCCCTTCGGCAATGTAGTCCCTGTGATCGAACCCGGCCTGAGCCCATGAGTGAAAGGTTTCACACATCTTTCAGTTAAGAGCAATGCTGGGAGCTTGAGTGGCCACCCTCCAGTTGGTAAGGAAAGGCCACTCTGTGCTGCTCCGGACTACAAAGTAGTCCCGCTCCAGGCCGAGACCTTGCTTGGGAACTTATGCAGCATTTTGAAACCCGGGCAAGGGGACAGATAGTAGGTCTGTCCATGCTCGGGGGGAGTGCCAAAGGCACTCTTTTTTATTAACAAGATGGAACAAAGGATATCCGCATCTAAAGGGAAGTTACGTTCGGAACAGAGGGAGATGGTCTCGACCAAGTTCCGAATAGAGTTGGGGTGGAGTTGGTCCAACGTGATGCTGAAGCGCCTCAACACCTTGGGAATAAGGTGGTGGAGAGGGAGACGAAGCCCGCCAACAAGTTGTTCCATGAAGATCACGATCTCATCTGGACCGTGCTCCCAAGGGAAGTTGCCGGTGGGAAGACTGTACGAATACTCCTGAGGTAGGTTGAACTGCTGGATGAGGTCTTGAAGCCTCTCCAGCGTCATAACAGATGGACCGAATTGGTCTGGCGCCCGACCTCGATGAGAGGTAGACACTAGTTTACCCGAGGTCACCCGGGCCTCGTGGGAAGGCCGGGCGACGGCAGGGTCACCCTGACCTGAGGTACCCACCTTGGGTTCGTCTAAAAGACTGTCCCCGCTAGACATGGAAGGGAATGAACTAGAAGAAAAGGAGAAAAGGAAGCTCGGGGAGTCACCGGAAAAAAGACGCAACCGAACCAGAAGACCCGAGCTGAAGACTCCAAATGCGAGCTCAAGGCAGACGAAAGATACTTAGTGGCAAAAGAAAATGACCAGGGTCCCCCATTATTTATAGCCGTTGGGCCCGGGCACCAATGGCCATGATCGAAGCGATCTAACGGTCCTTAAGAAAACCGGCTGTGAGACTCTCGATGCAAAATCAGTTTAGCGTGTTTTCTGGCATCCGCGAAGTCTAGATCGTGTGACGTCCGCGCGTATGTTGTACGCAACCCAGGTTTTTCCTTCCGAACGAACCAGTTACCATACCAGTCTAGTCAAGCGAGTTGCCCGATAGGGTGGCATGGGTACCGAGCCAAATCCACCCGGTGCACCGTGAACTCCCCGCACTGGGTCACCACCCACAGCATGGGGAGTGGGGGGCAATTGATGGAGGGTGATTTGGCCCGACCTCATAGCACGGGGACACGTGTGTGTGACTTGGCTCAAGGAACAGCTCAACCTGACAACACAACCGCGACTCGGCGGAAGAGACACGCCGAGTCCTATGCTATCCACTCGGCGGGTTAAGCAACTCGCCGAGGACTAACACCTGACTAACCTTGACTTTCACCAAGTGTGGGAGGTCCCGGGCTCCTTCCAGGGCTTGAGCTCCCCTCAAGGCCCGAGCTCTTTCTAAGGGGCTCTGAGCTCTCCCTCCCTAAGAAGGGAGCACCCCGGTTTTCGGCTAAGTATCCCGAGGGAGAAGCACCTCGGGGCAGCACCGCCCCCAACGTAGGCACCTCGACACCTCAGTGCCAAGACAAACCTGCCCCAGGTAGTCCGGTGCACAGTAGCTTGATAGGCTGTGGGGAGGCCTGCCTAACATCCGTACCTACCGGACCCAGTGGCAGGGGTCTGATCCCTTGCCAGGCAGCGTCCTGTTTGCTGTCTCTGAAAAGCATGGCATGTCAGTCAAGTCCGTACCTGGCGATAGTACTCTGTAGCAGCAACCTGCGCCTTTCACACCTACCCTGGTAGTAACGGCTAGGGCAGTGGCGGTTATGCTAGGTATGACCGAGCTCTGACATAAAAGAACCCCAACTCTCACGAAGTAAAGGTATTGAAGCTTAAGCATTTTGAGCACTCTTACTCTCGACTATCTCTTTGAGATTTTCTCCAGTTCTAATTTAACCATCGGAGTGTTCCCATCGGGATAACTCCCCAAGAACCCTTCACTTTCTCCTTCCTCTCAAGTGTCGTTCATTCCAGTCAAAAGACAGGTTACAACTAGCTAGGAGTGCCCAGATTGTGCAGCATCAGTACTCAACACACACCTAACCCATCCATTTACCACCCCTTTAAATAAAAAATCAAAGACAGTATTTATATTTACTTCACATCAATTATAAACAAGCTAAATAGCCACATGAATCATAAACCAAATGAGAATAAGTGAGGAATTCAACACAACAAGAGCCCCTTTGAATTGAGGGTCCCATAAAATCAATCCATTTGTTAAAAAAATTCCTCATTATGTCGATTCCCAAGTCAAATCGGTTGGACTTTTGCAGCCTTATTTCTATCAATTGCCTACTGGTGAATTATTGGTATGAAGACTTTTTTTTTTGTTATTCCTTAATTTTATTCTATGGGTTTTGTCAAATTTTCTTTTCGAGTTAGAGATATTTTAATTTTTCACTATGAATTTTTTTGGATTCAAAATAAACCTTTCCCAAATTTTGAAGGTATTTGAAATCGTGGGTATCTATTAAATAAATTCTGTCATATGAGATTTTAACATTTTCTCCCATTATGTAAATCTCCTTTACTTTTAGTACCTTTTTAATGGATAGACATTTATTCATTATTTTGTTAAAGTTTTAATGATGTTTAAGTGTCAATAAATAAATTTATTATTACTTTTTTTGATTTTTCAAATAAATCAATTACCAAACGTTTAATCAATAAACGTCCACCATTTCAAACACATACATTGTGAATTGTCATTCTGAGTCGATCCACTACCACTCGTCCGAGTTACTACGTCAAACCAATAATGAGTTGCAAAAACCGTCCAACTAACGAGTCACCGGAAGCTTGAACTGTAAGAAAAGATGGGAGACGGCAGCAGGTTCATGTTGTTTTCCAACGGGCATCCAGGGGCATTTAAGTAACTCCAGCACCTGAAAGCTCCAGCTGCTGATAGCAACTGGCGAGCGGTAGGCTTAACCTTAAACCGATTACCAGACAGCAGAGAGGCATCGCCTCTCACTCTCTCACCTCACTAACTGATTAACTCTCATCATCTTACTCAGAGTCGAATTTAATGATGCTATCCTCTCCAATCCTCTCTGATAATTACATCCCACTACCTTATCAGTTTAATCTTACTCTTTCTTTGCTTCAACTTCTTTCTTTCTCTTTTCACACTCTGTGATTTTAGCTGGTGTTTTGATAACTCAGTGATTTTTCTTCTTCTTCTTCTTCTTCTTCTTCTTCTTGATCTCAAGTGTGTGAAACACAAGAAACACCATTTTCTTTTTTCTGTTTTGTTTCTTAGAAATTGGAGACTCGATTGAGGAGCGAGCTTCAATGGAAGGTGGGTCGAGCTCAGTGAAGCAGGAGAAGAACGGCGTTCCAAAGGGTCCGTCGAAGCCCAAGATCGAACCCTTTGTACCGAGAACTGATCACAACCCAAGGGAGCTGAAATCATGGGCCAAGAGAACTGGTTTCAACCTCAACATCTCGGGAGAAACGACCGCCAGTGTCAGTGAGAAAGACCCAAATGAGAAGAACGACAGTGCTGGATTTGATTTGGAGAAGGGTCTTAGTTGGAGAGGTGGTGGGTCTTCACCAAAAATCGAGATCGATCCGATCTTGGGTCGTACTAGGGAGAACAGGGGTGCTGAGATCGAGCCGGTTTCTGCGCCTAGAAGTGTATTGCGAAAGAATGAAAGTGATGCTGGTTCGAGTCTGAGGAATGGACCAGGGGGAGCTGAAATTGAGAAGAAGAGTAGTATTGTTGACCCTCTTCTGGCGCCTAAGGATGATTACAGAAAAGCTGGTTTGAATGGAAACGGGAGTGCACATGTGAACGGTGATGAATCTTCGGCAGTTCCTCCGACTGCTGAACCCAATAAAGAAAACAAGGTCGAAGATGAAGTGGGAATCGATGTTTTTCCGGAGACTGAGGAACCTAGTCATCGAGGGTGGCGTGGACCTTCTCGGATGAAGTACAGTCTGAGAGAAAATCCTGGTTTTGGTTAGTATACTTACTCATAACTGCAGATGCTTGGAATCTTAATGTAAATCAATCATATCTTTCTTTTATTGCATTTGGAATTTTAATAAGAAAGTTGGATCTTTGCAAAAGCATAATAATGCACAGAATGAGGAAACATGAGTAAAATGATTGTTGAATATAACTTGTACCAAGAAATGCTTTATATTGGAAAAACAAGCCAAAACAATATCAACATATCTCCTAAGCTGTAGACATGTATAATAAATCCTTCAAGGATACAATAACCTGTAGGATCAAATGGATTTCCTCTTACTGTAAACAACCTTTACAATTTATCTCAGATATAAATGTCTGTGTTATACCCTATTTGCGTAATCCATAGTAAATGCCCACAATTAGTAGAACCATATTTGGCATATTTAAATACTATATGCTATTGCATGGCCTTCAAGGTTTCAACACACAATACATCTGAGCCTCTCTAGTGTCCTTTTTGTCAATATCGAGGCCTCTTATCCTCCTTGTAAATGGCCTTTGGATTAAAGTAAGCAAGCTCTGCTCGCCAATGGTTATGCTTGAATGGACATATCTTTGCATTTTCATGGGATTAGGACTGATGTATAGAGAATTCACTAAATCAGTTTAGACTCGTTAAATAATCACTCCTCTAGACTGTTATAGATCAAGGCATCCTACGAAACCATGCACCCTGTGGTTGACCAGTTGTCAGAATATTTATCAAGTGCTCATTGAACGTGCTTACTATATTGTACCTACTAGATCTGGTCTAGTGGATTGTACACTTAAAAGCTGAATAATCCAGACATCTCATTTCTGTGCTGTTCTGCTTTCACTGATCTAGTGCTTTTCTCCCAGAAGACAATCTCATGTTCCTCCAGGTGCAACTATTGAGTCAATTACCATGCAAATATCATTTTGAAACTCGTAAAACATACATATCTGAAACAATTTGGCCATTCTTGTTGGAATTTTCTTGATATAACTGACAAATCTGCCTACTGTTTGAATAGTTGGAACAGAGTCTAAGATCTTTCTCATCTCTTAAAGGTTTTACAGTTAGTCATAAAAAACTAGATCTTTATCTTTCTATTGTTAGGCATATTAGTGATTTTCTAGCATTTGTGGCTAATAACTACCGTCTTTTATGTCCAAAAGATGGGCTAGCTACCATATTGACAACCAATAATTAATTCATACCAACAACTCTAAGTATATGTTAATGCAACATTGACCACCAAATAGGATGGATAAGGTCCTTTCCAAAATATGGTTCTCATAACATTTAATTTTATGGGTAAAATGCCTAGACCCTAGAATCAAATTATCTGGACTATTTACCTTCACAAAGTGAAACATTTAAGGTATATTTACCTAGCTTTTGTCATTGGAAATCGTGCCTCTTTTCATCAAACTTTTAATAGTAATTGCTAAAATTCTTTTCCAATTTTGGAAGGGAATTGAGAAAAAATTTCCTTCCTTTGCTTAAGCGGTGACAAAAGGCCATTGAGTGAATTATTCCCATCAATTTTCATGATTGAATAGAGGTCGATCAATCGTATTGTCTCCATCTTTTAGGTGAACAATGAAAATGATTGGGAAGTGGTGGACTAGGTAGATCTTCTTTAGAAAATCAGCGTCTGTCCACAACATCTGGAAAGATAGGACTCTGCTAGCTGTGTAGGGCATTCCTTTCATGGCATGCATTTTATGCAATCAGCTGATCACATTTTTTGTGCATTTCCATTTATCTACAAACCTCCTGACATATTTATGCAATCTGTTAAGTTTCATTGGAGATTAAAAGGATTAACCAAGAGAGGAGGGAAAATCCTTTGGAGCATGGTTTCATTAATGGTCATCTGGTCTGTCTGGTTAGAAGAAATTTGAGGATCTTTGAGAAAAAGAAACTACTGGGATAAGGTTATAAAAAATGCTGTTATTTTTTATATCATACTTGATTTTTTTTGGGGGGAGGGAAATAGCTGTTATTTTATTGATATAAAACTTGTTGATTCCTTGTATAGTCACCCACAGTACAGGAGCTATACATGTAGATGTTATATTGAAATGATTATCTAAAAATATAAAAAAAAAAAACTTTTTCATTTTTGTTTTGGTACTAAGGATGTTATTCTTCTCAACCTATGATCAGGAGAAGGTTATTTAAGATTTATAGATTCGAAATTTCCAATGGATATCAGTTTGATTGATTTATAAGAATATTGTTTTATTTTTCTTTTTTTGTATTTCCAATTGCAGTGCCCCTTATTTATTACGGCTTGCAGCATTATTTATCATTGGCTGGTTCCCTTATTTTCGTTCCCTTGGTCATTGTACCAGCCATGGGTGGAACTGATGTAAGCATTTTGTCTTGCGGTTTGTTTGATTTTAAGTGGTATTTAAAGAGTATGATCATCTAACTTTATTTGAATGATGAGTACAGAAGGATACTGCCACTGTGATTTCCACAATGCTATTGGTGTCTGGCATTACAACAATACTGCACTCCTACTTTGGTTCTAGACTCCCTTTGGTGCAAGGAAGTTCATTTGTATACTTAGCTCCAGCTTTAGTTATTATGAATTCTCGAGAGTACCGAAACCTCACTGAAAATGTAAGTTCTATTAACTGATTTTTTTCACCAATCAATTTTAGCAATAGATGAATATTGTAGATTTGTCACAGATACTTTAGATTACCTGTTTTATTATTTTTCAAAAGATATGACCTTCTTCTACGCTCCTGGTCATTGTGGAACTACCTCTCTTTGTGGGGGATCTCAGGTTTAAGCATAAGGGAGGTACTGGCTCAGCCAGTAGTTCCACAATATACCCACCTCTTGGTTGGTGCACCACTCCTCTGTAAGGCAATTAAAACCAATCATTGCCTATAAACAGAGAGAAAAAAAAAATACAAAAGATAAAGAATTGCAGTACTTTAGATAATCTCATAATTTTTTATTTAGATTTCATGAGACTTTCATATTGTTGTATGCTAAAGAATTATTTATGTTCATATCTTGAGGTGACTGATTTGTGAACATCCAATTTTTTCTTTTTAAGACATGTACTGGCTGATAGTTAGGAGTATACCCCCTTTATCAAAGATGGCATGTGCCCAAGTTACATTCTGTTTTAATAAATGTTTTCCTTGTTTTTTACTTAAGATTTGATATAGGAAAGTTCCTGGTGAAACTAGATTAGAGAGCACTTTAAAACTAGAGAGCTGCATTAAAACCGTCAATAATTTTTACAGGAATGAACATTATATCTGCTTATCCTTCTGATTCACGCTAGTTCTTCAACCCAACAAGTCCCGACTTATGGGGTTACATTTCTTGCACATTTCATTAATTTCAGAAATTTAAACACATAATGAAAGAACTGCAAGGGGCCATCATTGTTGGTGCAATTTTTCAGAGCATCCTGGGATACAGCGGTCTCATGTCTCTTCTTCTGAGGTACTTTAAGGAACAACTGCCTTGCAACATCTTTTTATTTTTTATTTTTTTTATTATTTTTAACAAACCTTGCAACATGTTCTTGCAATATCTTCAATTCTGCGAAAGTACTCTCTTAAGGACCCACAAACACGTAACCACAGCCTAGCTCATATCTTAATTTATCATATCCTAAATCCCTTTTAAGTTAGGTATGAAACTGAATGAGTTTTTATCAAAGACATTAAGATGCAGAAGTGTTAACAGAAAGCAATATTACCTGGCTATGCAGTCACTGAGCTCACAACTCTTAAGAATAAGATATTCACCTAAAGTTCCAACACTTCAATCTCCTTATATATGTTGACAAGCTTCCTCTATTTGTTACTTTCCCCCATTCCATGTCATTGCTGGGGCCTCGTTCTGCAGCCAACTTAGAAAATCCAGCTCCTCCTTTGAAGAAGTCTAGTGCTTTCTCTTGTTAGTATTGCATGACATACTAGTCTTCCAAACATAAAGGTAACTTTACCACAATGTTATCTAAAGAGGCCTCTAATCCCAAAGAATCTCGGTTACTAAAAACACATATGTTGGTTTAACATCAGAGATTGCCACTTCTGCTAAGCAGGTTTACCATATCAGCCATCTATTATAATTCTATGCAAAATTTAGTTCTAGGGGAATCGTTTATCAGCCTGTCTTAAAAAATTTTCCTGTACATTGTTTTTGTTACAGGTTGATAAACCCAATTGTTGTTGCACCAACCATTGCTGCAGTAGGTTTAGCATTTTTTAGCTATGGGTTTCCTCAGGCTGGTAGTTGTGTGGAAATCAGTATTCCTCAAATACTGTTACTGCTAATTTTCACCCTGGTGAGCAATCCACAACCAGAATTATGAAAATCATATAATCTTTAAATTCGTATTTATAATCTGCAACTTTCCTACCACAGGTGTTTCTGTTCTATTTTGACCTTATTGAATTTTCATGGTTTGTTTTTTCTTTTCATTTAACTCATACAATGGTGCAAATCTGTTCATGATATGCTTCAAACACTCACACTTCATTCCATTTCTATTGCTTTCAGTACCTTCGAGGAGTTTCCATATTTGGGCATCGGATATTCCGAGTATATGCGGTAGTCTTTTTTTCACCTTTCAAACCTTCATTCTTTATACTCACACCTTGATTTTTTGGAACTCATTTGGCATACATACTAAAAGTCTGTTTCAGATGAACCAAACAATAGATTTCAGAAGCTGGTCCATATTTTATATCACTTTCGATTCCCACTTAAGTGTTGCAGCCAAAAATATCTCAAGTTAAAAGCATTTGTTTTAAGACAACATGATGTTTTACCTTTAACACCAACTGTACAAATCGAGGCTATGATATAAGATGGGTTTTGCAGCTTGTCTTCTTACAAACAGAGTTGGAGGGGGAGGAAATAACAATTGTAGAAGCCTCACTCCCTAACCTCAAAAATTACACAAAGGATTCAATCTCACTGGTCTTGGGAAAGAGAATTTCAGTGGCATAACTATGAAAGTATGGAATCAGACCATGATGCATCACCTTCTCAAGGAGCAAGGGAATTATTAATATTGCTTAAAATAGAATTGTAATGATATTTATAGAGTAATTGATAAAAATGGTATTTACAGGGATTACATGAAATATTTTTAAAATCCTCCAAAATTTTTCTCTTTAAACATTTGATATCTTAATAAATTGCTTCCAAAAGATTAGGAACTAAGAAACCAGGAAAGAAGATCCTAAGTGTTAGCGTAGGGGTATTTCTGTCTTTATACTTAGATTAAGGTTGCTGATCTGTAATATTGTGTTAGAACCAGTGCTCCTTACTTAAATAAGGNACTAGACTTGTTCATGGGCTGGGCTCGGCTCGGGCTTTGACTCTTTATTAACAAAAAAATGTTAGGCCCGAGCCCGAGCCCGACTCGACCAACGGGCCTACAACTTGGGCCCGAGCCTGGCCCTGATAAAAAACCCGAAGCCCGAGCTCAAGCCCGAAGCCCAACCTAATAAAGGAAATTCAAAATTTTCCCTATTCAAATAGACATTATCTATTTTGATTCAGATGTTTTTTTCCCCTATTTAAATGAACAATGAGCCTATAAGTGAATCAACAACCTTCTCAAATCAAAAAATTTATTCAAATGGACATCACATAGGTTTTTACTTAGGTTTAACTATAGGTCGGGCTTTTTGGCCCGAGGTTAAGCCCGCGGGCCAAAAAGCCTGTTCAAGCCTGTCCGGGGTCGGGCCATGCCGGGCCGGCCCGTTGGGCCACCCGGCCCATGAACAAGTCTACCTGCAATAGAGCTCGGCGTCAGTAAGCCCGAAGACACTAGGCTGATTAAGCAAAACACTAAAGTAGAAATTGACCTACCCGGGCTCAAATCGGCCTGAATGAGCTTCCCTTCGGCAATGTAGTCCCTGTGATCGAACCCGGCCTGAGCCCATGAGTGAAAGGTTTCACACATCTTTCAGTTAAGAGCAATGCTGGGAGCTTGAGTGGCCACCCTCCAGTTGGTAAGGAAAGGCCACTCTGTGCTGCTCCGGACTACAAAGTAGTCCCGCTCCAGGCCGAGACCTTGCTTGGGAACTTATGCAGCATTTTGAAACCCGGGCAAGGGGACAGATAGTAGGTCTGTCCATGCTCGGGGGGAGTGCCAAAGGCACTCTTTTTTATTAACAAGATGGAACAAAGGATATCCGCATCTAAAGGGAAGTTACGTTCGGAACAGAGGGAGATGGTCTCGACCAAGTTCCGAATAGAGTTGGGGTGGAGTTGGTCCAACGTGATGCTGAAGCGCCTCAACACCTTGGGAATAAGGTGGTGGAGAGGGAGACGAAGCCCGCCAACAAGTTGTTCCATGAAGATCACGATCTCATCTGGACCGTGCTCCCAAGGGAAGTTGCCGGTGGGAAGACTGTACGAATACTCCTGAGGTAGGTTGAACTGCTGGATGAGGTCTTGAAGCCTCTCCAGCGTCATAACAGATGGACCGAATTGGTCTGGCGCCCGACCTCGATGAGAGGTAGACACTAGTTTACCCGAGGTCACCCGGGCCTCGTGGGAAGGCCGGGCGACGGCAGGGTCACCCTGACCTGAGGTACCCACCTTGGGTTCGTCTAAAAGACTGTCCCCGCTAGACATGGAAGGGAATGAACTAGAAGAAAAGGAGAAAAGGAAGCTCGGGGAGTCACCGGAAAAAAGACGCAACCGAACCAGAAGACCCGAGCTGAAGACTCCAAATGCGAGCTCAAGGCAGACGAAAGATACTTAGTGGCAAAAGAAAATGACCAGGGTCCCCCATTATTTATAGCCGTTGGGCCCGGGCACCAATGGCCATGATCGAAGCGATCTAACGGTCCTTAAGAAAACCGGCTGTGAGACTCTCGATGCAAAATCAGTTTAGCGTGTTTTCTGGCATCCGCGAAGTCTAGATCGTGTGACGTCCGCGCGTATGTTGTACGCAACCCAGGTTTTTCCTTCCGAACGAACCAGTTACCATACCAGTCTAGTCAAGCGAGTTGCCCGATAGGGTGGCATGGGTACCGAGCCAAATCCACCCGGTGCACCGTGAACTCCCCGCACTGGGTCACCACCCACAGCATGGGGAGTGGGGGGCAATTGATGGAGGGTGATTTGGCCCGACCTCATAGCACGGGGACACGTGTGTGTGACTTGGCTCAAGGAACAGCTCAACCTGACAACACAACCGCGACTCGGCGGAAGAGACACGCCGAGTCCTATGCTATCCACTCGGCGGGTTAAGCAACTCGCCGAGGACTAACACCTGACTAACCTTGACTTTCACCAAGTGTGGGAGGTCCCGGGCTCCTTCCAGGGCTTGAGCTCCCCTCAAGGCCCGAGCTCTTTCTAAGGGGCTCTGAGCTCTCCCTCCCTAAGAAGGGAGCACCCCGGTTTTCGGCTAAGTATCCCGAGGGAGAAGCACCTCGGGGCAGCACCGCCCCCAACGTAGGCACCTCGACACCTCAGTGCCAAGACAAACCTGCCCCAGGTAGTCCGGTGCACAGTAGCTTGATAGGCTGTGGGGAGGCCTGCCTAACATCCGTACCTACCGGACCCAGTGGCAGGGGTCTGATCCCTTGCCAGGCAGCGTCCTGTTTGCTGTCTCTGAAAAGCATGGCATGTCAGTCAAGTCCGTACCTGGCGATAGTACTCTGTAGCAGCAACCTGCGCCTTTCACACCTACCCTGGTAGTAACGGCTAGGGCAGTGGCGGTTATGCTAGGTATGACCGAGCTCTGACATAAAAGAACCCCAACTCTCACGAAGTAAAGGTATTGAAGCTTAAGCATTTTGAGCACTCTTACTCTCGACTATCTCTTTGAGATTTTCTCCAGTTCTAATTTAACCATCGGAGTGTTCCCATCGGGATAACTCCCCAAGAACCCTTCACTTTCTCCTTCCTCTCAAGTGTCGTTCATTCCAGTCAAAAGACAGGTTACAACTAGCTAGGAGTGCCCAGATTGTGCAGCATCAGTACTCAACACACACCTAACCCATCCATTTACCACCCCTTTAAATAAAAAATCAAAGACAGTATTTATATTTACTTCACATCAATTATAAACAAGCTAAATAGCCACATGAATCATAAACCAAATGAGAATAAGTGAGGAATTCAACACAACAAGAGCCCCTTTGAATTGAGGGTCCCATAAAATCAATCCATTTGTTAAAAAAATTCCTCATTATGTCGATTCCCAAGTCAAATCGGTTGGACTTTTGCAGCCTTATTTCTATCAATTGCCTACTGGTGAATTATTGGTATGAAGACTTTTTTTTTTGTTATTCCTTAATTTTATTCTATGGGTTTTGTCAAATTTTCTTTTCGAGTTAGAGATATTTTAATTTTTCACTATGAATTTTTTTGGATTCAAAATAAACCTTTCCCAAATTTTGAAGGTATTTGAAATCGTGGGTATCTATTAAATAAATTCTGTCATATGAGATTTTAACATTTTCTCCCATTATGTAAATCTCCTTTACTTTTAGTACCTTTTTAATGGATAGACATTTATTCATTATTTTGTTAAAGTTTTAATGATGTTTAAGTGTCAATAAATAAATTTATTATTACTTTTTTTGATTTTTCAAATAAATCAATTACCAAACGTTTAATCAATAAACGTCCACCATTTCAAACACATACATTGTGAATTGTCATTCTGAGTCGATCCACTACCACTCGTCCGAGTTACTACGTCAAACCAATAATGAGTTGCAAAAACCGTCCAACTAACGAGTCACCGGAAGCTTGAACTGTAAGAAAAGATGGGAGACGGCAGCAGGTTCATGTTGTTTTCCAACGGGCATCCAGGGGCATTTAAGTAACTCCAGCACCTGAAAGCTCCAGCTGCTGATAGCAACTGGCGAGCGGTAGGCTTAACCTTAAACCGATTACCAGACAGCAGAGAGGCATCGCCTCTCACTCTCTCACCTCACTAACTGATTAACTCTCATCATCTTACTCAGAGTCGAATTTAATGATGCTATCCTCTCCAATCCTCTCTGATAATTACATCCCACTACCTTATCAGTTTAATCTTACTCTTTCTTTGCTTCAACTTCTTTCTTTCTCTTTTCACACTCTGTGATTTTAGCTGGTGTTTTGATAACTCAGTGATTTTTCTTCTTCTTCTTCTTCTTCTTCTTCTTCTTGATCTCAAGTGTGTGAAACACAAGAAACACCATTTTCTTTTTTCTGTTTTGTTTCTTAGAAATTGGAGACTCGATTGAGGAGCGAGCTTCAATGGAAGGTGGGTCGAGCTCAGTGAAGCAGGAGAAGAACGGCGTTCCAAAGGGTCCGTCGAAGCCCAAGATCGAACCCTTTGTACCGAGAACTGATCACAACCCAAGGGAGCTGAAATCATGGGCCAAGAGAACTGGTTTCAACCTCAACATCTCGGGAGAAACGACCGCCAGTGTCAGTGAGAAAGACCCAAATGAGAAGAACGACAGTGCTGGATTTGATTTGGAGAAGGGTCTTAGTTGGAGAGGTGGTGGGTCTTCACCAAAAATCGAGATCGATCCGATCTTGGGTCGTACTAGGGAGAACAGGGGTGCTGAGATCGAGCCGGTTTCTGCGCCTAGAAGTGTATTGCGAAAGAATGAAAGTGATGCTGGTTCGAGTCTGAGGAATGGACCAGGGGGAGCTGAAATTGAGAAGAAGAGTAGTATTGTTGACCCTCTTCTGGCGCCTAAGGATGATTACAGAAAAGCTGGTTTGAATGGAAACGGGAGTGCACATGTGAACGGTGATGAATCTTCGGCAGTTCCTCCGACTGCTGAACCCAATAAAGAAAACAAGGTCGAAGATGAAGTGGGAATCGATGTTTTTCCGGAGACTGAGGAACCTAGTCATCGAGGGTGGCGTGGACCTTCTCGGATGAAGTACAGTCTGAGAGAAAATCCTGGTTTTGGTTAGTATACTTACTCATAACTGCAGATGCTTGGAATCTTAATGTAAATCAATCATATCTTTCTTTTATTGCATTTGGAATTTTAATAAGAAAGTTGGATCTTTGCAAAAGCATAATAATGCACAGAATGAGGAAACATGAGTAAAATGATTGTTGAATATAACTTGTACCAAGAAATGCTTTATATTGGAAAAACAAGCCAAAACAATATCAACATATCTCCTAAGCTGTAGACATGTATAATAAATCCTTCAAGGATACAATAACCTGTAGGATCAAATGGATTTCCTCTTACTGTAAACAACCTTTACAATTTATCTCAGATATAAATGTCTGTGTTATACCCTATTTGCGTAATCCATAGTAAATGCCCACAATTAGTAGAACCATATTTGGCATATTTAAATACTATATGCTATTGCATGGCCTTCAAGGTTTCAACACACAATACATCTGAGCCTCTCTAGTGTCCTTTTTGTCAATATCGAGGCCTCTTATCCTCCTTGTAAATGGCCTTTGGATTAAAGTAAGCAAGCTCTGCTCGCCAATGGTTATGCTTGAATGGACATATCTTTGCATTTTCATGGGATTAGGACTGATGTATAGAGAATTCACTAAATCAGTTTAGACTCGTTAAATAATCACTCCTCTAGACTGTTATAGATCAAGGCATCCTACGAAACCATGCACCCTGTGGTTGACCAGTTGTCAGAATATTTATCAAGTGCTCATTGAACGTGCTTACTATATTGTACCTACTAGATCTGGTCTAGTGGATTGTACACTTAAAAGCTGAATAATCCAGACATCTCATTTCTGTGCTGTTCTGCTTTCACTGATCTAGTGCTTTTCTCCCAGAAGACAATCTCATGTTCCTCCAGGTGCAACTATTGAGTCAATTACCATGCAAATATCATTTTGAAACTCGTAAAACATACATATCTGAAACAATTTGGCCATTCTTGTTGGAATTTTCTTGATATAACTGACAAATCTGCCTACTGTTTGAATAGTTGGAACAGAGTCTAAGATCTTTCTCATCTCTTAAAGGTTTTACAGTTAGTCATAAAAAACTAGATCTTTATCTTTCTATTGTTAGGCATATTAGTGATTTTCTAGCATTTGTGGCTAATAACTACCGTCTTTTATGTCCAAAAGATGGGCTAGCTACCATATTGACAACCAATAATTAATTCATACCAACAACTCTAAGTATATGTTAATGCAACATTGACCACCAAATAGGATGGATAAGGTCCTTTCCAAAATATGGTTCTCATAACATTTAATTTTATGGGTAAAATGCCTAGACCCTAGAATCAAATTATCTGGACTATTTACCTTCACAAAGTGAAACATTTAAGGTATATTTACCTAGCTTTTGTCATTGGAAATCGTGCCTCTTTTCATCAAACTTTTAATAGTAATTGCTAAAATTCTTTTCCAATTTTGGAAGGGAATTGAGAAAAAATTTCCTTCCTTTGCTTAAGCGGTGACAAAAGGCCATTGAGTGAATTATTCCCATCAATTTTCATGATTGAATAGAGGTCGATCAATCGTATTGTCTCCATCTTTTAGGTGAACAATGAAAATGATTGGGAAGTGGTGGACTAGGTAGATCTTCTTTAGAAAATCAGCGTCTGTCCACAACATCTGGAAAGATAGGACTCTGCTAGCTGTGTAGGGCATTCCTTTCATGGCATGCATTTTATGCAATCAGCTGATCACATTTTTTGTGCATTTCCATTTATCTACAAACCTCCTGACATATTTATGCAATCTGTTAAGTTTCATTGGAGATTAAAAGGATTAACCAAGAGAGGAGGGAAAATCCTTTGGAGCATGGTTTCATTAATGGTCATCTGGTCTGTCTGGTTAGAAGAAATTTGAGGATCTTTGAGAAAAAGAAACTACTGGGATAAGGTTATAAAAAATGCTGTTATTTTTTATATCATACTTGATTTTTTTTGGGGGGAGGGAAATAGCTGTTATTTTATTGATATAAAACTTGTTGATTCCTTGTATAGTCACCCACAGTACAGGAGCTATACATGTAGATGTTATATTGAAATGATTATCTAAAAATATAAAAAAAAAAAACTTTTTCATTTTTGTTTTGGTACTAAGGATGTTATTCTTCTCAACCTATGATCAGGAGAAGGTTATTTAAGATTTATAGATTCGAAATTTCCAATGGATATCAGTTTGATTGATTTATAAGAATATTGTTTTATTTTTCTTTTTTTGTATTTCCAATTGCAGTGCCCCTTATTTATTACGGCTTGCAGCATTATTTATCATTGGCTGGTTCCCTTATTTTCGTTCCCTTGGTCATTGTACCAGCCATGGGTGGAACTGATGTAAGCATTTTGTCTTGCGGTTTGTTTGATTTTAAGTGGTATTTAAAGAGTATGATCATCTAACTTTATTTGAATGATGAGTACAGAAGGATACTGCCACTGTGATTTCCACAATGCTATTGGTGTCTGGCATTACAACAATACTGCACTCCTACTTTGGTTCTAGACTCCCTTTGGTGCAAGGAAGTTCATTTGTATACTTAGCTCCAGCTTTAGTTATTATGAATTCTCGAGAGTACCGAAACCTCACTGAAAATGTAAGTTCTATTAACTGATTTTTTTCACCAATCAATTTTAGCAATAGATGAATATTGTAGATTTGTCACAGATACTTTAGATTACCTGTTTTATTATTTTTCAAAAGATATGACCTTCTTCTACGCTCCTGGTCATTGTGGAACTACCTCTCTTTGTGGGGGATCTCAGGTTTAAGCATAAGGGAGGTACTGGCTCAGCCAGTAGTTCCACAATATACCCACCTCTTGGTTGGTGCACCACTCCTCTGTAAGGCAATTAAAACCAATCATTGCCTATAAACAGAGAGAAAAAAAAAATACAAAAGATAAAGAATTGCAGTACTTTAGATAATCTCATAATTTTTTATTTAGATTTCATGAGACTTTCATATTGTTGTATGCTAAAGAATTATTTATGTTCATATCTTGAGGTGACTGATTTGTGAACATCCAATTTTTTCTTTTTAAGACATGTACTGGCTGATAGTTAGGAGTATACCCCCTTTATCAAAGATGGCATGTGCCCAAGTTACATTCTGTTTTAATAAATGTTTTCCTTGTTTTTTACTTAAGATTTGATATAGGAAAGTTCCTGGTGAAACTAGATTAGAGAGCACTTTAAAACTAGAGAGCTGCATTAAAACCGTCAATAATTTTTACAGGAATGAACATTATATCTGCTTATCCTTCTGATTCACGCTAGTTCTTCAACCCAACAAGTCCCGACTTATGGGGTTACATTTCTTGCACATTTCATTAATTTCAGAAATTTAAACACATAATGAAAGAACTGCAAGGGGCCATCATTGTTGGTGCAATTTTTCAGAGCATCCTGGGATACAGCGGTCTCATGTCTCTTCTTCTGAGGTACTTTAAGGAACAACTGCCTTGCAACATCTTTTTATTTTTTATTTTTTTTATTATTTTTAACAAACCTTGCAACATGTTCTTGCAATATCTTCAATTCTGCGAAAGTACTCTCTTAAGGACCCACAAACACGTAACCACAGCCTAGCTCATATCTTAATTTATCATATCCTAAATCCCTTTTAAGTTAGGTATGAAACTGAATGAGTTTTTATCAAAGACATTAAGATGCAGAAGTGTTAACAGAAAGCAATATTACCTGGCTATGCAGTCACTGAGCTCACAACTCTTAAGAATAAGATATTCACCTAAAGTTCCAACACTTCAATCTCCTTATATATGTTGACAAGCTTCCTCTATTTGTTACTTTCCCCCATTCCATGTCATTGCTGGGGCCTCGTTCTGCAGCCAACTTAGAAAATCCAGCTCCTCCTTTGAAGAAGTCTAGTGCTTTCTCTTGTTAGTATTGCATGACATACTAGTCTTCCAAACATAAAGGTAACTTTACCACAATGTTATCTAAAGAGGCCTCTAATCCCAAAGAATCTCGGTTACTAAAAACACATATGTTGGTTTAACATCAGAGATTGCCACTTCTGCTAAGCAGGTTTACCATATCAGCCATCTATTATAATTCTATGCAAAATTTAGTTCTAGGGGAATCGTTTATCAGCCTGTCTTAAAAAATTTTCCTGTACATTGTTTTTGTTACAGGTTGATAAACCCAATTGTTGTTGCACCAACCATTGCTGCAGTAGGTTTAGCATTTTTTAGCTATGGGTTTCCTCAGGCTGGTAGTTGTGTGGAAATCAGTATTCCTCAAATACTGTTACTGCTAATTTTCACCCTGGTGAGCAATCCACAACCAGAATTATGAAAATCATATAATCTTTAAATTCGTATTTATAATCTGCAACTTTCCTACCACAGGTGTTTCTGTTCTATTTTGACCTTATTGAATTTTCATGGTTTGTTTTTTCTTTTCATTTAACTCATACAATGGTGCAAATCTGTTCATGATATGCTTCAAACACTCACACTTCATTCCATTTCTATTGCTTTCAGTACCTTCGAGGAGTTTCCATATTTGGGCATCGGATATTCCGAGTATATGCGGTAGTCTTTTTTTCACCTTTCAAACCTTCATTCTTTATACTCACACCTTGATTTTTTGGAACTCATTTGGCATACATACTAAAAGTCTGTTTCAGATGAACCAAACAATAGATTTCAGAAGCTGGTCCATATTTTATATCACTTTCGATTCCCACTTAAGTGTTGCAGCCAAAAATATCTCAAGTTAAAAGCATTTGTTTTAAGACAACATGATGTTTTACCTTTAACACCAACTGTACAAATCGAGGCTATGATATAAGATGGGTTTTGCAGCTTGTCTTCTTACAAACAGAGTTGGAGGGGGAGGAAATAACAATTGTAGAAGCCTCACTCCCTAACCTCAAAAATTACACAAAGGATTCAATCTCACTGGTCTTGGGAAAGAGAATTTCAGTGGCATAACTATGAAAGTATGGAATCAGACCATGATGCATCACCTTCTCAAGGAGCAAGGGAATTATTAATATTGCTTAAAATAGAATTGTAATGATATTTATAGAGTAATTGATAAAAATGGTATTTACAGGGATTACATGAAATATTTTTAAAATCCTCCAAAATTTTTCTCTTTAAACATTTGATATCTTAATAAATTGCTTCCAAAAGATTAGGAACTAAGAAACCAGGAAAGAAGATCCTAAGTGTTAGCGTAGGGGTATTTCTGTCTTTATACTTAGATTAAGGTTGCTGATCTGTAATATTGTGTTAGAACCAGTGCTCCTTACTTAAATAAGGGYACATATGTCTTTTCCATTAATTTTAATAATAAAAGCACATGTCTGGCCGAATGGGAGTTATGTTCTTTGACTTCTAGTTCGAACCGGATTTTCTTCTTTTCTCTCTCTCTTTCTTCCACCTTTCTACCTCTCTCTACGTGAATGATCCTAGACAAACAGAACTCCAAGGCAGGCCGAATCATAACATGGTATCAGAGCTACTCGAATCTGCCTAGATTTCTGTCTGCCTAGATTTCTATTCTCTGCGCACCCTATCTAGGGTTTCTCTTGATTTTTCTGCATTCAACTGGAGATAAGGGAAAGGGCTGAAAAGGAGTGATCGCCCTCTCCCCTTGGAGGTTTCTATGCCTCCAGTCGTGTCTTGTGTGGTCGGTTGCTGTGGTTTCTAAGATCGCCCTTCCCTAATCGATGAAGAGAAAATGGTCGATTTGTGTAGTGTAGTGGCTGTCGTGTGTGGACTGATTTTCTGCTCGTGTGGTTGTTCCTTCAGTGATAAGGTAAGAGATTTCTGTGCATGATTTCTATTGTGGATCAAATAGGAAGTATGTTTCAAATCATGTGCTAGGGTTTATGCTGTTTTTGTGTGTTTCAAAGGAAGAGTTATGATCATATAGTGGTGAGATTTCAGGTAGCCGTAGGAGTAGGGTTTGTGGTGTAAAGAGYAYAMTTYTCAGCAACAACAAGTGCTGAAATCAGTGTGACGAGTGTGATCTAGTCGTGTGCAGTGTGCAGAATTCAGTGGTAATAGAATTCAGCAAGTGTGCAAAATCGGTGATAACAAAATGGGAGATAACAGTGATTGTAAACCTAATGTGATGGTGCCTACAGGCTACTTGAATGTTCAGATGACTTCCATTAAACTAAATGGAGAGAATTATGTGCCTTGGGCTAAATCCGTCGAAGTCTTTCTGAAGGCAAAGAAGAAGGTAAAACATATAAGAGAGGAGAAACCCTCCACTGACTCTCACGAGTATGAAGACTGGGAGCAAGAGGATGCTCAGATCATCACATGGTTRTGGAATAGTATGGAACCCAGGATTAGTGTAAACTTCATGTTTCTTGACACTGCCAAAGATGTATGGGACCATGCGAAGAAATTGTATTCGGGTTAGGACAATACAACCAGAGTGTATCAGCTGTATCAGGAGTACTTTAATCTGCAACAGGGCAATCAGAGTTTTGAGGAGTACTATGCTAGTATGAGAAACATATGTAATGAGTTGAATGTCTATCATCCTCTCACTTCTGATGTCAAGATTCAGCAACAACAAAGAGAACAACTTAATGTGACTAGATTTTTTGTGGGACTGAAATCTGAATATGAACCAGTACGGGCTCAGATACTAGGAGGATCAGCTCTCCCCTCTTTAGAAGAGGTATTTGCTCGATTCCGGAGGACTTCTATCGGATCTACTGAGAACTCTAATATCTCAGATAGATCTACCTGTGCTGTGTCAAGAGGCTGTGGTGCTAGAGGTGGAGCTCGGGGAGCTCAGTCTGGCCGTGGTGGTAGTAGTGGTCCGGTGTATGGCCGAAGTGGCAATGATGGGCCTACTTATAATCGTGGTGGTGGTCGTACTGGGGGCAGAGATTCAGGGGGAGTCCGTGGTAGAGGAC